AAGACATATGTAGCGAACGAGTTTTATAGATCCGAGTTGGTTTAAATCCTCTGGAAACTTTACCACGGTAGAGGAGTGATTATTTATCAGAAATCCCCTAAGAACGAACAGTCATAAGATGACATAACACATACTTAAAAAAAACATTCAGAATAAAACATTTCTGGGCAGGGGTCCAATGTAAGCCCATATTTTGCATTTCATTGAATTTTATAGAGTACTCAGATAAGCAGATGAAACCATGGAACTGAAAAGATAATAGTGAGGTCCATCAGTATTTCTATTATAACTATGAAATAATCATTATCAATGTCAGAGTGAATGTCACCAAAACCGTCACCACCCCCCTTGAAGTCCGTCATCGCCGTCGCCGTCGTCGTTGTCGTCGTCGTATGCATCGTCATCGTTATATCGTTATGTCCTTGCCGTTGTCGCTGTCGCCGTTGTCGTCGATTAGCAGGAAGATTGTCACGAAACAAGCTACAACAGTAAGCCGAAAAAGATTATTTCCTATAATCAGGATTTTGTTCTCTGCATTTTCCTGAAGTAGATTAACAACCAAGCACGAATTGAAGCAGATCCAAGGGATTTACAAAGACATAATTCCAATGATAAACGGCGAAAACATCTCATCGGCCAGTTCCACCACTTCGCACAATTTGTGATACTCTCTCTGGAAAGAAATTATTTCCATTTTTGCATAACCCAATTGTAACAAGCCAGAACGGGCAATGTAGAGGAGAACACATACAAAACCAAGATGTCGGACCAACAAGATATATTTAATATAAGAAAACAGATGTCGTCAGAGGACCACGAGGTCGTGACAGTGTCACGCAATATTGTTACACCAATGACTGTTGTGACACTTGCTTGCCCAAGTCATCGAAAAGGTCCACTATTATGAGACAGGTATTACAGAAAAAAAGAATTGGAAGCAACTACGCACTAACACCGATTATTAGAAAGAGAAAGGAAAAGAAAGGAAATTAGCGCAAAGACAGACGATTCATTAAAAATTAAGGTTTGAAACAGGCAGGATTAAAATCCAATTTCAAATATTTTATCAAAGCACCTACACTGACACCGACCATTACAGCAAAAAATACAATTATGCCTTTTCGTGACTTACTTTTCATCTTTTTTAAAATGGCATTACTTTCGATGTTCTTGATCATGCTGCGAACGAATCTCTTAAATCGAGAATTTCTTGTAGTTTTCAAGGGCGACACAGCCAGGAGAATTATCTCACTCAGTGCATCAAGAAGGCACCGAGCGCACAATATTGATTTAATAAATATATTATTTGGTTCTAGGAAATTATCTCACTCAGTGCATCAGTTCTAGGAAACATTCCTGGGAAGCTGAAAGAAAATTATACAGAAGACCAGTAGCTGCAAGACCACAGTGCAAGAGTGAAAAACATTCCTTTATAAAGAAGTGACCAGAGTAACTTGTCAAAGATTTAACAGTCCGGGCCATAACCATTTCTGGATACTTGATGACGTCACCAACATGGATGTCGAGGAAACTCACTCATTACTTTATTCGAGCCCTAGTGACTTGGTTCCCTACCCATATCCCATGAAACCTTGCAAAATTACAGAAGACAAGCAATTACACACAACAAGCAAAGAACTGATGGTGATCGCGATGACGTGAAGGAAAAATTCAGATGAAAAGTCGGGTGGAGGTCCATGTTGCGAAGGGCTCGATCGAGGAATAACCTCTATTTAGTTGAGGTTTTCAGGTATGCAACATTTTTTTTGATTCCTAAAAAATATCTTTTAAAAAACTAGAATAAATTTGCTTCCAATTTGTCAAAATTCCAATCGAGTGCACGAGGTTTTTGCTCGAGTGCACAAATGTTGAAAGTCTGTTAGTGTGCAAACTACCAGACGGATTCCTTTGTTCAGATCCATCGGAGTATCGTGTAAACCATAAATTTTAACCATACGTTGTGGCCGGCCAATTTAAAGTAAAAGGACAATTATTTATCGGACCTTTATAAGCCTACATTGTGAATTTCAGATCAAGCCAACAGCATGGATGAACACATTCAGTATCTCGAGACACTTTGTCGTCTTTGTGGCACAAATCTGCCACGGACCTGGGTCAGTGCTACAAACAAAAAATCTTTTCAATCGGAGCTCTGGATGAAATTTCGAATCAATGTCGATCTTGACATCAGAGAGATTCATTCAGCTAAGGCGAATGCACACTAAAAAATAATTTCAGGAAACCACGGATCTAACACATAAATGTGATTATCCAGCGAGTAAGTTCTCCTTCGGGCAAACATAAAACAAAGAGGTATTCGTTCACTGAGCTCTCACATCTTCAGGTATCGTATCCGGGAAATGTGCGATAAGAGCGGCATGAAGATGAAAATAAAAAAATCACATTGGTGGAAAGCCTTGCCGAAGTGTCTCTATTACAGCATTCCTGAAACAAAGGTTGGAGTTTAACTACACGAACTGATGAGAGTGAAATTTTCGTCTAAAACCACAAGGGACTTGTCTGTAATTGTGAAACTCGTTTAGAAACACCGCTCGTGCTTTCACATTTTGCAGTGATTACCTAAACAAACTTTCTATACAGGGTGTTCAAATCAAAGGGTAATTGTAAAAGACATATTATTGCTGACTAAAAGCTGTAGGACCGAATTTGTAGTGTTCTGAGACCTAGATTCTTCCGCGAATCGATCAATAGCGCGCAAAATACCTTGTGTGATTCTCTTGCATTGAATTCGATCATGTGTATTCGTCTTAATATAGATTGTGACTACTTGATTTTATTTTATCCCACTCATGTATTTATTGGCGTTTATTTTCCAGGTATCATAATTTCAAGATCAAAGCTCCACGTGGAACACCGCTTGTTATTCAAAGTGAAGACGACAACACGTATGACTCGCATGCACTGGCTTGTCTTCTTCCACGAGAAATGGAACGCATTCCAGAGGCTCTACGAGAAGTCCAGATTTTCAGCAGATCACAGAGAAAGACATACACTTTAGGAGATGTCAAAGGGCAGCAGATCGGCACGGTTCAGCACTTTCTAAACATACAGCTGCATGCTTTGCTTCGATGTGGCAAAATAACCAGGAATTGAAGGGTAAGTTACTGTTTTCTTGCTTTACTGTTACTTTTTCGTAAAGGCTTGATGGACTGAAATTGATAATGTCTATTTAAAATCGGAGAGAAGCAAGATATTGTCTTTCCTCGACCTATACTGGAGAGAAATGAAATTGTCCCGATTCCGCGATCTCACACCTCACTCGTCCCAATTGTTATCAGTGCGCGTTATTTGGTTCAACCTTATTTAATTGGTTTTCTTGTAACCCAAAATAGGGAAATCAACGGACAGTAACATCGAGGCCAAGCTCTACCCAGAAGTTCTCCAGATACAAACAGGCTGGCGGAGGAGCTTTTATTCCTGTGACGCTCTTGGTGGAAGGACCACAGCCTTACAAAGAATTTGTGCTAGAAATAATCCGCTTTACTCTTCCAGAATGCGAGAATGTCGGGGACATGCATGTTGAATGTTTGAAATAAACGAATATTTTTAATGGTATCTTACGCCCAGTCCTTATTGGCGAATTTTTTTCAGCTTACTACCGCATTACAACATGGCCGCCACAAAAAAAAAAAAATCAGCTTCTTCTTGTTTCCAGCACCTCTCGGCCAAATTTGCTTTGTTTTGGTTTTGATCTCACCCAATCACAAAGCTCGAAACCGATATCCAGAAATGGTTATGGCCCGAACTGTTTAAGAGTAGTATCGCCATAATATGCTCCAGACAACCTCACTAGCTTTATATTTTATCAATTGCTTTGAGCAGGTTTTCGTTTACGTTTCCTGACTCGCCAGATGAACTGGCCGTTCTGAAACCTTGTTCATTGTATTTAGCAGCTCGGATGTGGAAATCATGTTATTTGCGCGCGTAGGTGTCACTCTACCAGGCTTCATCATCATAAAAGTAACCCAAATACGAGGAAAAGTTTCAAAACAATGCCGGCATTGTTAATGATAGTTTGTTTCATGTGTTTTGCCTTTAGCTCTGTTAAAACTTATAAAGCCAAGAAACTCGCTATTGTGTTTAAACAGGAAATAATTCTCCGGGGTGTCATGATATTTACCTTTCAATCCATGGGCTGTTTGATCACGCATTCTTATTTAATTAAGAAAAATCAATTACATTTCAAATTTCAATATAGAATTAAAAATTTGAGTGTCAAATGTGTATTATGATTACATGACTTGAAGAAAGCACCATAAGATTCAATTAAGTAGCCTGAGAAGTTTCCAAATGTTGAACTTCCAAATCTGATTGGTCTCATGGAAACATACTGTGTTTCCTTCATTAAATTCCTGATTTTTTTTCTTATGTTAACTTTGGACCAGGTTCAGCAGTCGACAAAGGTAATCCTCTCTGTCTTTGGCAAGATATATGCCATATGCATTGCATTAGTTTGCACTTATACTGGCTGAATTTTGACTGATAATATAATCATAATAAAGAACAAAATCTCAAAATTATTACTGAATATTAGCTACTCTCCCTTTGCAGTGAGGTAAGTCGTTTCTTCTTTCTTTAAATACGGAGTATAAACTTGTTAAGATCGACATTCTCTGGTTGCAGCAATTCTGATCGAAGAAGGAGTTCAGATCAGGATCTTGAGACGAGATGAACGCATCGCATGGTCTTACGCTACAACTCTATCATACAGTAGCTACCTGAAGTGTTTCCATCAGAGCGCTGTATGCCTTATAAATTCTCCTATTCACTCATACTGGACTCAATTTAAACTAATCTATCAGTCCGCAATCGACTAATCGAGCAAGATTTATTAAATTAAAAATTCACAAATCGAAATACAATATGCAGCTCGTGTGGGACATTACGTGAAATTACGTACACTCGTGCAGGTTTTTTATTCAATTTTCTTGTTTAATAATTTGCTCACTTAATTGTGAAACCAAAGTCATTTTCCGCTTTTTTATCCTTTTTAAACCCTAAATATTCATATGCGAGACGGGAAAACCAACATAAGTTTAATCTCCTCAACAGCGGTATAAATTATCTTAAGAGTGTGATTTGGATCTCGGTCAAAAATCCATGCCGTGATTAGAGTTCGATATAAATTTATTTTACAGTTATATCGTATTGTTGCTTTATGGCAAAAAAATTATACGAGCCACAAACACTTTGACTTTAGTTCGTGAAGTTTTCAAGCTTAATAGCAATACGTGTTATAGGCATCTGGACGAAGCAGTGAAAAGATAATCAAACAAGAGCCTCCATTCAAATCCAAGTGGGTGGGCTCACTGTAATTATTTCGTTTACCTTATTTTATTTGTTTTTTCTTGAAACGTTTTCTCGTGTTTTATTTTCCTGAAGGGCAAATTGAAATAAATTTTCATCTATAAAACAACGTGTTACTGTCTCTTTTGATGCAAGCGTAGGATTCTCTTTGTTGGATTCTGCTCCCATCCCTATCTGAAGAGCAAAATATTCAATCCTGACAATCATCTTGGCAACGATAACAGCACCGTGAAGTAGGAGATGATTAATCCGACAATCTGAAAAGATACATACACCTTACTGGATGCTTTAATGTGTGAAACGCGCACAAATTAAATTTTGCGAGTTGCGTTGCATTTTTCTTAGTTCAATATGGGCGACATGCAAACAAATGCGAGATGTTCCTACCGTTAAGGAGAGTGATTTGTTGATGATAACACAACCTCCGAGAGACAGACCTTTTGGCTCATCTTGAAGATCCAATACAAACAACAGTAACTTAAAAGAAAAGAAAACATTACTACTTGTTTTAAAAAGAGACTTCGGTACAATAAGTAGAAAAAAAAAACATTTAGAAGGTGTTGTAAAGGCGGGGATTGAAAACAAGAGACAAATTATTAATATATTTATTGCAAAAATGTATCCCAACACGGAACTTACCTTCCCTTCGTCCTCCTTTGAAACGGGGAAAGTTTGCAAAATCCCTTTGAAGCTGTTGATCTGTAAAGGAAACGATTATATCTCTGAGACAAGAATAAAACTAAGAATACAATACTGAGACAAGAATACTATTATCTTGGAACCTGAGTTTAGAGGTCTTATGGAGAGACTTACAATGCGCCTGTTTAGGATTTAATCTGTAGATAGGTGCAAACACTTCCAATGCCTGATCTTAAGGGTATGCTCTACAGCCCCAGATAGTTTGGCAAGGACAGTTCAAAATGTTAATATTGAAGGTTGCGAACCGACGCTTTAAGATTTATGCAAATGAAAGACCAACTGAACAGTTTCCATCTGTAGAAATTTAACAGGCTCTGTACTGAGTAGTGAAAATTATGCTTACCCTTGGTAACATCCTATACCTTACCTTTTCAGAAATGCTGGAGCCAGTTAACATTATCATTGATAAGAAAGAAATTGAAACTAGTAGCCAGAAGATATTGGACGCCAGAAATTCATATTTTTCTGCACCACTTGGTGAGTTGATTATCTCGTATAAATTGAGAATCAGCAATGGGATGTACAGACCAACCATTTCAAGAAGTAGAGGTGAAAGCACTTTGTCAGCAGATGCGACTACTCCACATAGCTTATGGTGCTCCATCTTGAATGCCTCAAAACCCGTCGGGACGGCAGATACACGGGAAGACATCCTCTTATGCAAATCATCAAACAATGCCTTAAGTATTTCGCATGTGATATGATGAAACAGAATTGGTAAGATCCACTGAGCAGTTCCAATAAAAAGAAAAAATACAGAAAAGATATTCAAGCCCGACCAAGCATTCCAAGGCTTGTGAGCTGCTAGTTTCAGGTTTAGATAAAAATTGACAAAGAAGATACCGCCTCCAGATATAAAGAACCAGATCCAAAATGCAGCCATTCCTTTTCTTGATTTTTTCATCAATTTTTCTAAATCTGCTCTGATGTTTAAAGCACTCAGGTCAAGAATAAAATTTTCAAATCGAGAGTAGCCTGTGTCTGTTAAAGATACACATAGCACATAAAGGCAAACCAAGCCATTGAGTGCAATTAAAAGACACCATACACAAAACATCATGAAGACGAAAGGACTTTTTCCAAAGAAGATGTCAGTAAAGGCCATCACAAAATTAAACCAATGACCAGCGAGTACTACACCACAATAGAGCAATGTAAAAATGTTCCTTTTCCTGCCAGTCCCTGCTACACGCGCACTGGACAAATGTCTTAGGGATGCATCTCGAAAGTAGAAACCAAACCATCTCATCCCTTTTAGTACGGGGCTGTATATTTCACCAATTGTTATGAGGAGCCGTTCGTCAATATCTTTGTGTTCCAGGTTTGACGAATCTTCTCTAGAAGTTTGATCGTTTGTTGGCTGTATTTGAATTAAAGATGGCATTTTCTGTTTTCTTTGCTGAATGAAACCTCAAATCTCGTGATTTAAAAGTCTTCCTTTAAGGATGAACGAAACTAATAAAAAGCCGAACCCTGAACGTAATTACTCCCACCTTGATATAAATACTTATTGCTTTTCTTTTAACTCCCACTGTTTCTCTGTACCTATACTCCCGGTCAAAATAAAGTTAAAAATCGAAAAAACAAGAAAATAATTGTTGAAAAAGTAAACTTTCCCCCAGGGGGCCCGCGAATAAAGTAGGATAGAAACAAAGAAGAGAAAATTACTTTATAAAACCTAGAGCCAGATATTATTCAAGTGTTTGTAAAGGTACAGTTTTAGTTCATGTTGATGTAGTTGTAGTTTGCTTCTTTTCTTTGTTTTTGTTTTTCTAAAACTCTTTCACATTTAAAGAGATCCTGTCAAGTTTTTCAGTATCTCAAATCTAAAGTAAATAAAAAAAGAACTTTCTAACTGCGGCTGGTAGCGGTTTGTCTTTGATGTTAATTGTGTTTCAGTGACTTAATTTCCTTTAATTATTGAAAGAGTCATGTATTTCTCAAAATGCTTCAGTTCTATTTAGCTCTTTTCAGTGATTCATAAATAACTTATATCAAAATATTAGCTTTTTCTCACACAACTTATATTTCATACTCATGGCTGAAAGCAGAGTGCACCAAAAATGAAAAACAACAACAACGATGATGACGGCAAAAAAAAGCAAAAAGGTTCCTTTAAGCACTTCTCACGCCAAGGGGAACACCATCTTATATTTTGTGTTCAAACCTTTCGACAACTTTATAATATTAACCCTTACATAAAGAAAGAGACCTTAAGTTTTTAATATTTTATATGAGATTGTTAAGTTTTGTTTTAAGTGTTCCTCACACCACATGCTGTCTTTTTTTAATTTTCTTGTCAATAAATGATAAGTACATGTCAATGGCAAACTCAAATATAGTAATGATGATTTCAGTTAACTTAGGCCTGTAAAGTGTCTTCGGGAGACATTTATTATATTCATTTTTCTCCCGACATTAAAATTCGGTTTAGTTATAATATGCACTGCAAAATTTAAGAACCATCATTAAAAAAAAAAAAGAAAAGAAAGAAAAAAAATTAATATTTGTTTTGCATAATTACTTTTTTCCTCTTCTTTTTTCTTTTTTAAATTGCAAATTATTCTTTATGGACGTAACTCTTTTTCAGAGATACGATCGCGGTTATCGATGAGAGGTTCTCACTTTTCTTCCATATTTAGTCCTACATGAAAGAAATAGTATGGCACTCAATCGCAGGAGGATTCCGAAAAGCACGTTCATGAGTTATATTTATACAATGAAAACTTTTCAAGTAATTGTGAAGCATCTCGGTATTTAGGGATGGTACTTTGAGAGTGATGCACAAAGAATCCACGTGAAAACTCCAAAAGGTAAGGAATCTGATGATCGAGTCTCTATGCTCAGGCAAAACACCGATTCCTGCCGACTACGAGCTTTTTGCTTAATCTTCTAGCTATGAATGATTGATGCATGTCAGGTACAAATTCAGTTATTGCCATTACAAATTGATAAGTTCTCCTCAGGGTATATTCGTAAATTTCTCTTGGAACGGATAAGTAGTCCGCGACGAAGAGGAGAAATCAAATTTCATAATTTTTTTTTTAAACTCACGACAAATTATCGACGTCTTTATCTACCATTTTTTTTTTTTTTTTTTTTTTTTTTGGTTAGTGATTTTGCATTCAATGATTTTTAAAAAACTGAAAAAGTAATAAAAAAGCTCTTCGTGCTTTGGAATACGGACTGTTTGTTTGATCGTTAAATACACGCTGCTCGCATTTCCTTTCAAATTACAGCTTATGAATCTGAAAAAGAAGGTTACAAAATTGTTAAAATACTTAGTATTTTAATTAAAAAAGGAATATTTTGACGTAACTCCAATGTCATAGTATCAAGTGGTCTCGAAGTCTATTTGAAATTTAAATGGCAGATGAAACGATGACTAGATGTTTTTCACGGAAATATACCTTTTCGCTCACTTTAGATCCAAAATAAAGGACTAGCAATAAAACAGTTGCTGCAATCAGACGCCTGCATAGAGTTATTGCAAGGGTTACTGGGTCCATGTCGTCTGTTAGAATAAAGACGTTTTAAAAACTTATACATGATTATGATTCCGAGGAGAAACGATGAGAGTATCTTGTCTGAAAACTCGACTACCTCAGATAGTTTGTGACTTTCCACCTTTAAAGGATGAAATTCCTCAGAAAAAAGAAGTAAAGATGAGAAATTAAAGAAACATCATCGAGCCGCAGTATATTTGCAAAAAGATATGTTTTGCAGCTGGCATGTGTTCGAACTGCTTCAAGTTTGTATGTCCGTCATAGGATTCGAAAAGCTTCATTAGCTTTAGAACTGGGGTGTATATGTCGTTCAGTGCCTTAAACATCTGTTCGTTGCCACTTGTGGCTTCATGTGATGGAACAAAGAAATAAGTGAAGCTTTTAGGGCGAGAATGAACTGAATGGTACGGAAACACCGTTTATTTACAACATTTGGGGAGACATGATTTTGCCACTAGCTGATGAGTTTCCTTCGTTCTGTATATATTTTGTAAGGCAATGTTGTTCTAATGGCTCCCAAATTAATTTTGTGTTTGGGTAAATTCCCACTGCTAATTCTTAGTTGTATTCTTTGTCTCGGCAATACATTACAACTACATTGGGCTGATAATCCTTGAGTTTCTATTCAAGCGACACCAATGGAATTGTTTCTGTCGTTAAACGTAAAGATGACAGAATAAGAAAGCTCTCATTGTATTGATCAAAAGCAATTGATACCTTTCCCCTTTTTGCGAGTGTACCCTTTACTGACGAGGCTGCACAACAGAAATTCAACTTAATTGTTATGTTCCCGTTACTCTTTGAGGAAATTATAAGATTATACTATAGATATTAAATCATTCGCTCACGATTGCTATTCGTATTAGTTCAGATCATAAGCTAGTTGTCTAATGAATAATGGGAGTGATACTAATATTGAAAATTTAGCAGTGGGCAATCCACGGGATGGCTCTTCTTGTCCACTGTTTCCAGGTTGAACTGGAATTTTGATTAAATATTCCTATATTACGTTTTCTCTTTAAATGCTGATATTTATTCAGTTTCTCTTCATAGCCCTGATCTTAAAAGGAGCTGGATACTGTGTGATTGCTCTTCGATGCGTTATTGTAGGAGGGTCCTGGCCTTCCTCAGGAAGAAACGTAAACTTGTGAAGCATCCAAGACAAGAGAACAAACATTTCCAATTTAGCAAGAGTCTCGCCTGGACACACACGGCGTCCTGCTCCAAACGGATAAAAATTTCCCTGATTTGTTATCAAATTGCCATCTTTATCGAGATGGCGATAAGGGTTGAAGAGCCTCGGCTCCTTCCAGCAAGCAGGATCAAGATGTATTGCTTCCGTGTCTGGATATACGATAGTATCCTTAGGCACTCTATAACCACACAGGAAGGTGTCTTGTACAGCTCGGTGTGGTAAAGCTTGGGGTACTACGTTACCCAGTCTTAAGCTTTCCATAATGGTAGCATGGATAAGAGGCAGTCTGGGGCGATCCTCCAATTGTGGCATGCGACGTCGACCAACGACGTCATCCAGTTGTTTCTGAATATCATATTGGTAATCAGGGTACTGAACCAAATAGCCTAACGCAAATGTCAGTGCATGCGCAGTAGTCTCGTAACCAGCTGTTAGCATGTCCTGTATAGTGTTGATAAGATGATCTTCAGAGAAAAGGGAAGCCTTAATTTCATTGGTCTCGGTCCCTTCCATAGCTTCCTTCTGGGCATGCAGTAACGCATCCATCAAATTGGAACTGGGTACCTGGGGATCGAAAGTTACCATTCGTTCTCTTAACTTTAGGCGGATGATCTCCAGAGTGGAAAGAAATATGCCGAATATTTTTTTCCGCGAACTGAAAGGAAATAATTGGCTTAGGGGAAAAAAGTCCAGAAACATCATGGCTTGGAAGTCTTTATAGCTTTTTAGACCGAGTTCGTTTCTATGGATTAAGTCATTAATTTGAGGATCGCTGAGGTCCCAATCATTTCCAAATATTATTCGCCCCAGGACCTCGACAATACACTGGTTTAGAAAATCAGCGGGATCAAAGTCCTTCTGTTGCTGTTCCTCAAGAAATCGCAAAAGTTTCGAAGCCGTGTAAGTCACTTTCTCTTCAATGAAGGCTGTGTTGGAAATGTGCTGTCTTAGGGCAGAGATAAGGATACGGCGATGAATTTTCCACGACAAGCCGTCACTGAAAGCTATGTTCTTGAAGCCTAACGAACGAAAGCAAAATGCGATAGATTTGTTTATTTCGCCAGATAATATCTGCAATATTTATATATGAGCTTGTCATTTTTTTTCTCTAGCGAGGAAGGTTATGTGGAAACCATTGTTTCGTTTTGCGTTTTCAGTTTCAAAATAACTAATTTATTTCAAACGACTAAAATCGTGCAAACGGTTACATAAGATCCGGTATATTAGCTCCCCTGTAGGTGTGCGCCCCACTTCATTCCAGTCGCGCCTCAATTTACAGGTACTCAGCTCCTATCATAGGAACCATGGGGCTAATGACTTCGAGCTTGCTCCCTAACTAGTACTAAAATTACATCAGTCATGTGCGAACTATTAGTAATGAACATAGATAAGATAAAACAGACAACTGATACAATAATAATAATAATAATAACGATGATAAAATACGGTCACACGGACACAAAAAACAAGCGAACAGACACACTAGACACATTCTCCAAACAAAAACAGGTTGCAATAAAGCAGCAAGTTATATATGCTTGAGGAGAGTCAGGAAAGGAGAGGTGCTTTTAATCTTGATCTTGATAGAGGATAGTAGGGGCATTTTGCATATGACCCAAAGAATGAAATGATTTTGGCCCCTCAGGTTAATGACACGATTCTGACAGATGTGTCTACCTTAAAGAATCCCTCAGAATACTTACCAAGGCTTAACGTTCTCAAACTGTAGGTCTTAGGTCTTCCACCGTATTCGGAAGACTTTGTCACCAGCACCTCCCGGACAGCTTCTGTTGAACCGGCGATAACAAACTTGTAGCTTCCGAGCCTTAGGGAGAACAGTCTTCCATATTTCTTTCGCAAGCTATCACAATATGAACAACATTTATCCTTGAATGATAACTTTTTAGGCCTATCGTTATGAGTATTGAAACCTAATTAATTCATTCTTAGTCTAAGGATGGAATTTTTAAAACGAAATAGCTCTAATTTCAACCTCTCTCTCGGTCAGGCGTGACTTGTTTATTGAAGCTTTCACGTTGTAAGGAAAATGGATAAAAGTATAGAGTTATGGTACAGTAAATATAATATTACTCCAAATTCTCTTGTCTCTCTACCGCATAACCTTTAACAACATACCAGCTATTATCGTGGCGCTGCATAATTGTCACGGCGTGAGCTAATTTGTGCATGCCATTAGAATGTATATAGATGGAAAGCAAGTCAACGGCATTTTGAGAGAAAATTCTTTTTGCCTTAAGTTCATTTGCGCTTGGTTCAGGTTATTCTCAAAAACAAAACAAAAACAAAAACGATAAGACGTTAATTACTGCAAACATATGCTGAGGGCCTTAATTGCTATTGGGCAGCAGAAAAACAGTGTTTACCTGACGACGGCATCTTGGAAGGTTGTCGCATCAAAATCAAAGCTGAAAAGGTTTCCGATGAAAGGAAGGTTTGTTAATCGTGGACCTGGGGGCATTCCTCTGAATTGATAAAACTCGACCAACAGATAAATCATAAACACAAGCAGAACTGCGAAGACTACATTTGTTAGACATAGATGTTCCACGAATAGAGCCATAATCCGAATCCAACAAGCAGAGGCAAATGAACAATGAGATATTCCCTAACGTGTTGAGACAAATCAGAGGCTCTTGACCAGCGAATGCATTTACTCGAAGTAAACTAGCAGTGCCCACCAAACAATGTTGCACTGTTTTAGTATGCATCGCACGAGGTTATTTTTTTTACCTAATTTGCATCTGCTAATGATTGGCCTTTGTTAAAGGGAAACCAAGCAACGTGTTGACAATTAGCATGTCACACACCGTTTGCTTTGTACATCACAGAAGTATATCATTGACTTTATTACACAATCTGCACACTGTTTACCTTTCCTTATTCGGTCTCCAAGCAACATTTTGTTCCCTCTAATTTCACTGTATTAATGAGAAGTCCCACCACTGGGCTTGCGCCAGGATTTCGTTTTGGTCATGCCAGTATCTCAGTCTCCTCTCCCTCACAAAATGCACAATGTAAAAAATGCACAGTGTAGCATCAAACCGGCAGTTAACCATCAATTCAGTCAAGTGACAACATAAATCTTTTGTCATTGGTTTGGCAAAGTTTTTTATTTTTTTATTTTTTTAACCGATTTGGCGTACATTTCAAAATGACACAAACTGTTATCAGTTAGCAGTGTTGGTGTTTATATTTAGAGCACATTACAGAGTCATATGATGCAAAATAAATACTGAGAAATGATTGTGCTTCCCGAGCCGCTAAATGTCACTTGTGACGGTGTGATTTTCTGTTGAGTTGGAAATTGCAACACTTCTGGAGTCTTTATATACCCGCGGGAAGATTCTGTGAGACCAACATGTAAGTGTTCAAATTGTTTATTGCTATATACAGTATATCATGAAGAGCAGCTCTTGATTGACTAGTTCTTCGCTCAGCTTATGTAACAAGTGAGTGTTTTGTCATTTTGTGACTCACATTAAACTTTCATTTTGACCACGATCGTCTCCTACTGATCAGCTGCTGCTTCGTTTAGACTATTCCTACAAATCTTAATATTATTTAAGAGGCAAAAACAATGAAGATCGAGATTCTATACACATACTGGCCGGTGAACTAAATGAAACATTTTCTAGCAAAATGATCTCGGCTGCGTTAACTTGACAGTAGAGTAAGAGCTGTATAAAAAGCCTCTTAAGAAACATCGCGGTAGTTCTAGGCAGCCTTGAATGCCCATTGTGTTCCTTTCAACCATATATCATTTAGTCCAGTTTAGCTAGCGTTAAACGTTGTACGTGTTTAAAACATACGCAATTACTTTGAAAGGAATGTTTCTGTTATTTTAAATTTACTTTCCATAGAAAGAGTAGGCTGCTTAATCTTCTGATTGAGACGATTATCCATTTTAATGACTTAAACCTTTTGGCAAAAGTAATGTTATTTTTCGGCGTCGGGCTAAGACATAAGTCAAAAAGTTTGTGATAACATGAATTCAAGGTCACCAGTTTTGTTTTCACTGCAAGCAGCACTAACGTGACAGTCGTGTTTTGTTTCGCAACGAATAGCAATGATGATGATGGATTCTTTCCCGGTTGGTTCTGGTGGGAAAGGAATTATATGGCAATAACACGATAAAGCGTAGTTTGTCTTACAGGAGGTGTACGCTCAATAAAGTGGCCGCAGGTAGTTACATGAGTTTCATTGCAGTATTCGAGTGAGGAGCAAAACGGCTTTTAACAATGTGGTTCACGATCAAAAGAGTTCGTTTGGGGAGAGTAAAGTGTAATTTACGAGTAGTTTGAAAAATAGAACCGAAATAATATTTGTTGATAGGTAAGATGTTGCTAATATCCTAACTTGTTATACGTGTTTACCACACAGATAAAAGTGAATAGTGCTTTTCGGGCGCGCTGATTGACTGGCTCGAAGTGATTAGCAAGTATCACTCTGTGCAACCCAAGAGAAAAAATCGCGCATCAAGAGATTAATTTCCGACCGCTTTTTCGTATACTTATAAATACAAAGTTTTTGGTTTCTGTCTGGTATGTCCTAAAACAAATATTCACCCCATTGTCGGCGAAAGAGGTGAATATTTACCTCTTTGCCTCGCGAGTCGGTATACGCAAACATCGATCATATTATTGAATCCCGCTGAGGTGAAAACTTGTTAACTGTAGCACCCGTACGTGAAGTTTTTTTCTGGGAAAAAATAAAATAAAACGGTTGTCTCATACTGAGAGAAGTATTTTCAATCTTTAATGGACCTCGAAGGCCTATGATGATGACAACAGAAAGTACATTTTATATGAGCTTCGGAGTTCAACAATACGAGTTGTAAATTTCCATTTTTTTCGTCTTAAGTTGTTTTGTGCGATCGATTGATTGGGTTTAGATTTAAAACATACTTAACTTCATGCTGTTTTTCTAAACCTTTTCATTTGCTCTGCTCTGCTTCATGTAAAAACTCTAGATATCATTGCTATATAGTTTCTAGAGAGTCGCTTATGCCAACGAACATTTTCAGAACTTGAAAATCCCAAAGGATTTTTTTGTTATTTGAATATATTCATCTAGTGGCTTTACTATTTTCCTCCGGCAATAAAATTTAGTTAACGCAACAAGCAAAAAATTCAAGGAAATTTTTCGCCTTCCCTACTTTTTTATCTTCTTATTAATTTTTTTTTTTTTAATTTTTTTTTTTCATCATAAATGATTAAATCCATTTGTCTCGATATCGAGCAATTTACGCGCCTGCTTCGGCATTTCAAATTTGTATCGTGCACGGACACGATTGCACCAATGCATACTATATGTTGGATATCATTTAATTACATCACTTAAATTATAGCTATGGTTAAAACAAATTGATTTTTCGGCAAAGTTATTATCAGTTGAACTTGCATGATTGTAGACCAAGGTGAAATCGGCTAACTCTCATTTCCGTTCATTTAAAAATCCATGGGCAAATTCTCTCTGGTAATTAATAAGAATTCCTAAAACTTTTAATTGTTTTTTTTTCTCAAATAGGAGTTCAACAGACTCAATCTCGTTGACGTAAGCTTCATTGTTCCCTGGCTAGGATAAAACTTGTGAGCTCATTTTTGCTATCTCTCTTTCTTTTTTGTGCGTGTTTTTTGTTTTGTTTTTTTCGTTTTTGTTTTTACCTTCCTTTTATCTTTTGCTTTTTCGTTATCCTCACATTTCGGTACAATTTAGACATATTTTGTACGTTCAAAAGACTTGAAATAATAGGAAGGACGACTAGGAGGTTTGTTAACACCCGCGAGGTCTAATTGCAGTACAGCTTATTGGAAATAATTTTTGGAACTTCCGCCTGTACTAATCACAGAGACGATTAAAGTATAAGTGATCTTCCTTTTGAAATATCACTTTTCAGGAGTGAATTAGTTTGTACTGATAAAAAACTGACGTGAGGTGGTGTGATATAATTGAATATTCGAAACTTGATATTAAATTCCTGTTTTTAAACCCATCCTGATAATCTGTAATGACAGTAGGGGAGCAAGTTTCTTGCTTTTTTCCAATACCTATTTCCGATTTCGTGGTCAACGGGATTAATATCCATTAATGTGATATTCCAATTGGGGCGTTATAATGGCCAAAACAAAATTTTGAAGAAAAACCTGCCTCAGTCATCGTAACACCAAAATGAAATTTCCATGATTAAGAAATTGAGAATCTTTTCTTTTAATCTACTTGAAGTTGTAACTACTATTTACCTGATAAATTTCCCACAGTGGCCCACATGAGAAAGCTGAAAAAAATGTATATTGATGCAAACAAATATAGGTAGATGTAAACAAATAAATATTGATGCAAAGTTCCAAGACAGGTTTCGGCAAAAAAAAATCTCACATGCAAATAAGGCAAAAAGCAATTAAAATATCTTCCTTGTATTTGCTTTCTACAATTACATTTGCAGTTTGCATGGAAAAAAAACACGTAACCTGCGTTGAGGAACTATAAAAATAGTTTACCCCACTTGTGATTCTTGTCGGCCTCGTGTGAGGTCTGTTTCCTTCGATTGGGCCTCAGAGAATTCGTGGACAACAAGCTCTTGGTTATTCAGGTACAGTTCTGAGGTACTTCTGTATCATCTCCATCGACACAATAATTTCAGTAGTCGGAAAGCTGAAAGAAAATCTAAACGCATATTGTCACTATTAATGAAGCGTTTTATACGCTGTCAATCCTTAGAGCTAAGGTTGAAGTGACAGGCCCATTGGAAATTTTTTTTTTCGGTTGATTCTTTAAGCTTTGCTGTTTAAACATAATATTTAATTTCTAAGCTAGATTAAAAGAACACACTCTGACCGAATGAAGAATCGAAATGAGAAATATTGACTAATTTCAAAGGTGTGTTTAGGAAGAAAGCAGGGCTTTTCCTGTAGTAAAGTTTGTCTTTGGTCAAATTATCTTCAGTTGTTAGGTTTCTTTAAGCCATTTGGTATGAAACTTTGAAGACTAACTTTACATATCCATCTAACTGGTAGGAAATACAATATTGATTTTTTTTTTCGTTATTACACTATTGTTGGATCAATAGAAACATTGGTATAACACCACTATAAAACGACGCAGAAGTTTTCCACCTTCTTACAACATAGAGGTAAACACGAAAATCTTACTAAGTTCAGTACTCAGAGGGCCATTAATTCCTTTGTTTGATTATTTCTCGTTTTTATAATTTTCACTCCAGTTATGTCCGCTTAAAGAAAGCAAGGGAAGCAATTTAAATATATCTCGGTTTTCGTGCGCTTAAGTAAATAGGAAATATGGTATAGCATAAATAAAAAAAATGTTTCAGACGATGTACCCTTTATGATTCAGCTATATGCTTTTTCATTTAATCCGTTTACAAACTGATAATATACTATAAAACTACTTTAAATATAACAGATAAAGCAATGATATCGCTGTATTACGTTAAAAATTTTTCCAAGGCGCCGTTTCCAGCGACTGGTCGGATAATTTCGCACACGTTTGTCACCAGGAAAGGTTTGTTATGAACGGATGTAGGTGTCTAAATGGTAGACGACAGTTGGTCGTAAATTGACGCCTGAGGAAATTTTTTTTATTATTATTATTTTCGGTATAGAAAGCGGAGCCAGCAAAGTCTTTTAGTCTTTTTTCTGTACTTACGTGCACTTGGGTCATGTCAGGAAATGAAAATTAAGTAAATAATTCTTTATTTATCTTGTTGTCGGGAGAATCTATTGTAATTTCTTTGTTTTGTTTTATTTTATTTCATTTTTTTTTTTTTTTTGTCGTCAAAAAATGAAGGGAGTCGCCGATGATTTTGTTCAAAACATTTTACATGAAAAGGGTCGAAATTAAACTTTTTTCAGTCAATTTTAACTTTAATGACTCTTCGACAACAAACCTGAGAAAGCTAAAATTTTTCACTAAACAAATATGAACAAATTAGGGAACGTGGTACTGTAACGTGAACTTGAAGTAATTGCATGCGAATCGCAGTCGAGAGTGATTACTTTCATAGTGACTTCTTCAGCAAACCACAGCGGATACAAATTTGAACAAATGAAACTAATACGACATAAAAATGCATTTGGTTTAGCGCCTGCAGATCGAGTGCATATTTACCACTTCTCTTTTTCTTTGCTTTTCTTTCTTCTTTTCTCTTATTCGAAAGGGCTAAAACAAATGACAAAAATGCACTATGTTGAGAGAGAAACGGTAATTTGAGTACTGATGGAGATAAGGAGATCATTTCACTTATTACTAGGACTGTAATGGGACCTCTAATGGGTCATTCCTCATTAATTCTGCAACTGTCATAAGGTTGATAATCATTTAGATCATTTGCACGTCATTTCAAATGATCAATAGATGAGATTTGACTTAATCCTCCGTACCAACGAGCAGTTGTATTGGACTTTTGCAATTCATTCAAGAATTAGTCTATCCTAGAAAGCATTTTTTATGAATGATTAGAGCAATTTGACAAGTTTTTCGTGCGCTTACCTTATTGCAAAGACATGCGTGTTAGAGATGACCCTGTCTTTGTTGATATTTTTCATCGTTATCATTTTGGATCGATCATATTTCCGAGTATGGTTCCTTTGTATTTATATTCATCACTTTGACGGTAACGTTCATTTCTTGTTCTCTTTCAATAGTATCGTTCTCGAGAAAGGAGGCAGCCAGCTAGAAAAATGATAACCAACGGTACATCGGCTGAAGAAAATCCATATGATGAACTCCGAGCTATATTGGCAGCAAGAAACACAGCCGAGTTTATTACAGAGACAACAGTTTATGTGATAATCAACCTGATGGCTTTGTTAGGCAACATTCTTGTCTGCTTTATCTTCTACAAAAATCCAAATTTACGAAGCGTTACCTATCTGTATATTTTTGCGCTTGCCATATCGGACGTTTTTATGGCAGCATTTTGCATGCCTCTCGTCTGGGGAGTATTGCTAGTGGGTGAATGGAGATACGGGGGGGTAGTGTGTGGATTTCATGGCTTTGCTGTGCTTTTCTTGGCATTCGTGTCACTGCAGACCATAGCGTTGCTAGCCTTTAATCGGTACTGCCGAGTGGTGAAGCCGTGGTTATTCCGCAAGATTTTCAAGAAGAATTTCGTCGGTTTCTCCGTACTGGCTGTAGTTTCCTCAGCCGCATTTTTCCTTGGCTTACCTCTTGCTACAGGCTGGGGTTATTTTCATTTCCATTCTGGCAAGATTACCTGCGTATTAGAATTCTATCATCCCGCCACAGATAAGATTTACACCGGCATCCTGGGGCTGGTCAATGTCGTTGTTCCATTTGCCGTGATAACTTTCTGCTACACTAAAGTGTTTTTGAAAGTACGAGAGCATCGGCAACGCTTTTCCTCAATCACCTCCACAAACTTAAGACTGAGCGTTGAAGAAATAAACATCACCAAAACGTTATTTGCCATGGTGTTAGGCTTCACTTTGTGCTGGCTTCCTGTTTTCATTATCGAATTCACTGATGCTGTAACAGGAAATCACTCCTTACCAAGGAAAGTGTATCTCATTAATGTCTTCTTGGTTTCCATAAGTGCTGCAATCAACCCGGTCATATACGGGGTACTTAACAGATCCTTTCGTGCAGGATATTGCGAAATGTTCTCTTTTCGTGGCAGCTGCTTAATGAGAGTCTGGAATATTCAAAAGGAACAAGAAAATAACAGTAAACGTCAAAGTGCTGACACGTACAACTGACTGCAAAATGAACTCTTTCAATAGAATTTGTAATCTCTTGGAATACATCTTAACTAAAAAAAAGAGACATCCATGCACTGTTGATTTAGATCATTAAGTATGGTTCGACTTTGTGTATGTATCCCACAGCAAGGAGTCTTGGTTCTAAGTCGAAATTCTAAGTTGCTAATAGTAACCATTAAACACATTGATTTTCGAAGAAGACTCTACACACGGGAAGGCGAGTTATTCAATGGATTCGACCCAATACCAACAGCTGCAGACCTACTCAGTGATTTTTCCCTGTAATTTTTTAACTATTCTTGCCATGTGCTTTGTTAATTCCTTTTTCCTATTATGGCCAAATGTTCTAATCACAATTCAAAAATTAACAAAAAAACAAGGATACTCTTACTTCATTAAATTGGAGGAATTTGTTCTGCAGAAACGTTTATTTCTGAAATAATTGATATCCTGCTAGAGTTGAAAGTGAATGAAATCATAAACTTTACCTTTCATCTTTTACGAAATTCACAAAATAAAGAAGGAAAGAAGTACTGATAAATTTAATGTCAACAGGAGTGCATTGAATAACTCCATGGGAATTTCCAAAGAATTTCAATGAAAGAAATAACCGTACAAGACAGGGGATTGTTTTTCCCCATAAAATTGCTTTTCTATTCGGCCAATTTTTGACTGACATTTATCGTAAGCGCCATCGATTGGCAAATATTAGCAGAGAGTTTCATTTAGTGTATATCAATAAGAAAATAAAGAGAAAGATTAAACTGAGGGCTGTTGAATTGATGGCAAAATTGATGATTCATGTATTGGGGATTTAAACTACTCTGTAATGAATTTCGAAATACTGTTTTCAAAATCAGCCCTGTGGGATGATTATTTTAAAGAGCTTTCATCTATATATATGGCATTGCATAAAGGTATTAATTTCTGCCGAAAACAAGGACAAAGGAAACCATGATCTTATTTCGCCATGTATCTGTAAGTTCTGTTGCTTGACTCCTTACACGGCGAAGAAATCGGTTGACTAAGGCGAAGAAGCAATGCAGAGTAAATTACTGCAAGTATGAATTCAATCTGAACTCAGCATGGGTTTATAAAAACAAGACATATTCAAGGGCGCTGATTACATGGCTGAAATAATGTATTATTAATTACATCTCAAAGAATTTCAGGATTTCGCAATCTCCCAGCTCTCTTTAGTCATTGTTGGAAAGCTTCACCTGCTTGGATAGTTATGGAAATAACGGTAGTAACATCAACAGTACGTGATCCATTGAATCCATTGAATAAGGAGAAACACTTGATCGGGAGAGCAACGCCATGCCGCAACGTTCAGTTCATGTGCTTGAAATCAATGACAGAAATGTAATTGACAGTGGCGTAAACGTCCCTCCCGTACAATGTCAAGTGAACGAGAGTTCAATGGTGAATACTCGTAAACAGTTATCGGAGATCTTACGCCCAATTTTGACAGCCATGAAACTTACGGGACACTTCTTTGGTCCGACGGCAGTCACTGATGACAATAAGCAGAGTACATGGAACCCTTCGCGTTTCTACAGCGCTCTTGTCATTCTGAGCCAGCATATGCTGATTGTATTCGCCGTAATAAGTCACTGCCACATCGGTTTGAAGGACATCAGCAGGTTTATCTTCTTACTGCAGGTCGTTGTGTGGTATCTGCAATGTGCGAGCGGCGCAACTATTTGCTCGATCATGATGCCTCTTTCTAAGAACAAGCGATCGAAATTTTCCCTATTTCTCTCCAGTTTTGTAGAGACAGAGCCCGAGCTCAAGGGTATTAAAGCGAAGGCAGTGAAAGGCCTCATATTTGCTTGCTCCGCAGCAGTTGCCAATACCGTCATCATTGGCCTTTTTAGCATGTATTCCGGTGGGATGATCTCTGCTTTCCCACCATGGCAACAGTTTGCGCATAAATTCGTTCGAGTTGCCGAGGTAGTAATGCCATTTTTCTATTCCTTCGCCATGGTCTTACCCGTTTTGATGTTTTGTGTCACTTGCATGCTTCTGGAGAAGATGTTCTCGACCTTAGAGAATAAACTCGAGAACGAATCTATACACAATTTCACCATCTCGTACCTGCGTAAAGAACACGTGAAGCTATGTGAGATTGTGGACTTGGCCAGCGCCGTATTTTCGCCGCTCCTCTGTGTCATCATCACATTGGATGCAACTTTAATTTGCGTCAACAGCTATCAGCTTACGCGAGGCGAGGCCAGCCGCATTGCTATCATAGCCTTTGTGTACTGGACTCTCTTCGTAATCTCGTTGTTGCTGATTTTGTTTTCATTTGGGGATAAGGTCCACGAGAAGGTCAGTGTATTTCTTGCTTACTGCAATTTAAGAAAAATGTTTCAATAGAAAGAAATAAATTATTATTTTAATTTTTTATGCCCATCAAAAGTTCGCGGCTTAAGTTGTTGCGGTGGCCTATTAAGACGGCGTGGGTAAATCTCGGAATTGTATTAAAATCAGTGAGACACCTCTTTTTATCGACTTTTTTCAAGACTAATATAAATTACGTTCTTATTTGATTTTACAAAACTCTGCCCTCTCAACTTAGAAAATATTCACCAGTCACTGAATGATGAAATCTAGAGAGGATTGTGTTTTGCTTAAAGTAATTTAATGGCAGTGTCAAGACAGAAACTCTTCGACGTTAGTTTTTAATTATTTTAAATGGTCGTCAATTCCACCAATGGACCAAAAGTGCAGATGCAGATTTTTCGAGGGAGGATTAAACTTTTTACTTCTTCAGGATGTCTAAAAGTTGGCAGTTTTAACGGCCGTCGAGAAATCGGTTTCTCTCTTTACTCTAGTATATCATTTTTAAAATATTAATTGTTTTTTCAATCATTTCTCGCATAAAATGTATATACATCGAACACCGTTAAGCTTCTCACTCTCTAAACGCATGATGCTATCTACCGTCTCCTAAGACAGATAAGCAAGCGGAACAGGCCAATGGTTGGCGTTTGAGGAAGACCTCATATGCGTTAGAGACCGATCTTGGATGCGCAAACTCGCCTGCAGAGAGTGTAGGGGTAGGCATTCGGGTGGAAAGCAGCTTGTTGTCTCCTGTTTCTTTTCTCTTTGATGGCTGTAACCCTCTTGGTCTCAAAGGTTCCCAAAAACGTATAACCCTTCTGTACTGCGCTCTCTCTTTTTGCCATTCTAGTGACGAAGGAACACGTCATGAAACACGAAACCTCATCTCCAATTATGGTTATAAGTAGATCGCTTCCATCGGCAAGTTAAGAAGATTTCGACAACAACTTACCGAGTAAATAATTCATTTATTTAAAAAGCAAGTCGCATGATACTAAAACGCTATGTTTCTGTGGTTTAATCTAACATGAAATAACGGCAAACAAGGAAGACGTCGACGTCGCGGCATCGATCGAGACCAAACCTAAAGGAATACCGTATATGGAAATGACAAAAAAATACTACTTCTTGCAACTAGGCATGTCGTATTTCATAACAACTTCGATCGTCATTGAAAATTACTGAATAACACAAAGCAGGAAAGCTTGGGGAACTTCCTCTTTTAACAGATCGCTTGAGTTTCTATGTCATTATACTCTCCCTTTTGCAGCACAGCGAGTTCAATGAATGTTATGTTGACGATGAAACATACACTTCTCGGTGAAGTGGTCAGTAATTCCGTACTCTCCAATCATTAGGTGTTCATAAAATTTTGTCTCCGATTTCTGCCTTTTCGTTTTAATTGTATAAGATATTTACGAAATTATATAATTATTTTATAATAGGATATAAGAAAATAAAGGAGAGGATGCATAAAATTATCATTTTCACAGGGTATTTTTGTATGTTGTCAGGCTCCTGACAATGTCATTAGCAAAATTGAAGAAATATGGCTGTAGATCGTTCTCATTTGCAGCACTTACAACTTGAAACTCACTGCCAGAACCCATACGTAAAAATGATATTTTAAAATTTAAAACTTCTATAAAGACTTTCTTACTCAAAGAACATTTTGATTAAAGAAATATTGCGATAAGAATATTAATTATTAATTTTTACTTTTAATTTTAATCTTAACTTTTAGATACGAATTTTTAACTTGTACTTCTATATATTTGTGTTTTATTATTAATGTAATTTTTTAATCTACAAAATTTTCGGTCTTGAATATTCAGTTGTAAAGCGCCATGAGCATACGGATATGGCGCTATAGAAGTCCTTATAATTATTATATAATATTATTTTTATAAGTGAAAATCACTGCACGAAACTTCGAGTCAGCTAAGTGAGCGAGACTGTACTTTATATAATTACGAGAAAATTATAAGCCTCATTCCCACGGCGTCGAAGTCAAGAACTGTTTATTTGAGAAGCATTTAAAGCTAAGGGTGTTTTTTACAGCCGTAATTAATTCTTGTTTTACATTTACATTTCTTATAACAAGGAGGTATTGTTGTTTGTTGCTAAATGACGCAGATGAACAAAGAGCGTCGACAACGAGCCAATGAGTAGATGACAAGATTTTTCCTCATTCAATATAATGTCCTCACCCAAACTCTCTTCTAAATGAAGTTATAAACAACAGCTGCCAGTTAAGATCAGTGTTTGATGTATTACATTGGCAGGAATCAGTCCCGATTCGAGAACACACAATGTTTCACAGATCTGTTGATGCGATCGAAATACATCGCAGAGATTCAGGAGACATCACAGGCAATCAAATCCCGATCGAAGAATACCAAAAGAAAGAGGAAATAGCGAAAAATCTACGCAAACAGCTGTCGGCGATTTTGCGTCCAATATTTCTCGTCATGAAACTCACAGGACAATACTTTGGCACAACGGCAATGTTTGAGGAAAATATGCAAAAAACATGGTGCGTGTCGCGTCTTTACAGCACTTTTGTCGCTCTTGGCCAGTGGTTGCTTTTTTTAATTGCTGTGACAAGTCATTGTTACCTAGGGTTCAAGGAAATGAATCAGTTTTTCTTTTTACTAGTTTCCACTGTTTGGTTTCTCCAATGTGCGAGTGCCACGACTATTTGCTTAGTTGCCTTTCCATTTGCTCAAAGTAGAAAGTCAAAAATGTCCATATTTATTGCCAGTCTTGTCGAGGCAGCACCCGAACTTAAGCTAGACGGTACAAAGGCCAAGGCAGTCAAGGGCTTGGTACTAGCATGCTCTGCAGCGACGCTAAATACAGTCGTCGTTGTTATGATGAGCGTTTATTTCGGAGGTATCATATCTGTGTTTTCACCATGGGAAAAGTACACCTTTATTCGATGGGTCGAACTCATATTTGGAATTTACTGCTCCTTCTCCTGGTGTTTCCCTGTGCTCATTTTCTGCGTCACTTGTATGCTTCTAGAAACAATGTTCACAAGTCTCCAGAACCAAGTTTCTGACAGATTCATCCACTCCTTGAGCATCACGTACTTGCGGAAAGAACATTTGAAATTGTGCCACACGGTACAACTGGCTAATGCCATTTTCTCACCACTTCTTTTTATCATTGTCACATTGGATGTGCCATTAATTTGCGTCAACTTTCATCAACTCATAAAGTCGTCGGCCGATACCGATCGTATTACGATTGTCGGCTATTTCTATTGGACTTTCTGTATATCTTCTTTCTTGATAGTAGTGTTCTTGTTTGGAAATCGAGTAAACGAAAAGGTAAATTTTTACCTCTCAATCCGAAAAAAAAAATTGAAATAAATAAATTAGGGAGCGGTGGCTACTGTCTCTGTCGATTGCTTAATTAAGTACATCCTGTACAAATAGTAATTTTCTTATTTATCATCTTAAAGGTTTATCAAGAGGAAGGTATATGTAATTAACTGTAGAAATTAGTTTCATGTTGACACAAGAAATTTTCATTTTGATTTGATATAGAAATGCACAACTGTCACAAACAGTAATTATTAGTTTGCTGAAATCGATTATGAAATTATAACTTAAATATGATTATGAATTTTTCGTACGTGATGTTTACTTTACGTAGATGTGGTTGTTGTTGTTAGGTTTTGCTGTGTTTTGTTCTATTTGATTTTTTTTCCAATCTAATTTTAAGATGTACGTAGGATATCTATCTTGAACATCACAACATGTCATGATTATATCTGCAGGCTCACAGTTTTTATGAAACGATCCAAAAGTCACACGTGTCTATCGACGACCTTAAAGAACATGCCGAGGTAAGTAACTAAATTCACTCTACCGCAATCTCCATAAAGAACGCTAAACTATGTTCAAGGAAAATCATTAATGGATATATGCCCTTTCGTTAGCCAAGCAGAAGCTCAGACTTAGTCGCCCCCAGTTTGGTCGGCTCATTCCAGCAGTTTCTTATATTCTGGTTCCCGTCCATCCCTGTACTGCCAAAACTTATCGCCACAAAGACCATTTCGTGATCATGAAAGCGATCTTCGTTGTGATGACCAGACTAGACCAGACTACTTCATTCTGTTTTTTTCGTTTTTTAGCTGACTCTTTTCCTGGCACATTTGCAAGGGGATCCAATCGGTCTCTCCGTTGGAGGTATCGCAGTGGTCAACAAGTCTCTATTCCTAACGGTTAGTATGAAAAATATAAAACATGAAATATATGTGACACATTTTAAGAAAAGAAATGAATTATTTCCGACGAGTGATATTTCGCCTTACACTTTCCCTTTCATCCTACAGCTCTTTGGAATAATAGCATCGTACTTTGTCGTCCTGCTTACATTACCAAGCTAAAAAGAAGAGTCCAGTGTGCCCTGGAGCGCCATAATTCCTGGAGATCCAGTGTATAAATAACTATTATAACAAGCCTCAAATTAACGATAGCAGGGGGGGGGGGGGTGTAGGGGGAGATAAATGCAGTCCTCTCCGAAGTTATTATATGTACTTCGCTTTTCCTAATCCCAAAAAAATCATAATACCTCATCAGTTGCATCTAATTCGGTCGCGTTTGATCATTTTTTTCTTGATCCTATTCGATAGCATTTCACATTGCAAGCAGTAAAGGAGTAATTGAACAAAACTTTGGGTTTAAGGGTTAAAAACCTCTCCCCTCCACCCCCTCTCCCCTCCCTCTCTCCCCTCCCCCTCTCCCCTCTCCCCTCTCTCCCTGATGGCTATTGGCTGTGCGTCCGAAGGCTATAGACAACGATGATGTAGATACATTTAAAGTTGCACAGAAGTTGTAAAAGTGTTGGATTTGTTCTTATTGCTGAGGTTTGCTGTCAAAAGGTGGCTAGAATTTAACAGAGCGTAATATCAATTAGGTAAACGTCTACTCTATATCAAACACGCATGGGACAGACGGCTGTAGTAAATTGATTTGCCGAAACCGGTTTCAGTCATGCTTGATCAACTTCGGCGCTAGTAGCTTGCGTTTCATTCAAGAATATCATACCCGTCTATTCGTTTGATCGGCTCCGGATTGAAAGAAAGAAAAATGAGAAATAAGCATACTTACATTTAAAAAATGATAAAACAGCTTGTAGGAACTATCACCTCCAATGGGACGAACATATATCTATCGCATTAATTATTGCATACATTGAACTAAAATCTGCGTTCAGAAGCTTAAGAGTTTCCATTGAACGGGAAAAAGCTTATGAGTTTCTATTGAACGAGAATCTAATAAAGGCAAAGAGTTCGATATTGGCATAAAATCGAATGATTTGCATGTAATTTGAAACAACTTCAAAATTGATAAGCCTCCATATTGCACTTGTGTATTGCTCAGAGACCACTTCTTCATTTTAAAACAACAACTTGCTCTTGATTTTTTTAATTCCGAATTGCACTCGAAATGTTCAAAGTACAAATACAAATCTATAATGATGGAAGCTTTCCAACACTTAAGGTTGAGTGAACGTCACTTCCGGATTACAGAAACAAAAGAAATTTGACAGCAATTGGATTGTCCGCAATTCGAACGTCTTAAAAACTGTCGGTTGCATATAACTATACAACAGTAATGGTAATAATAATGATAAAAATTATAATTATATCAATGATTTACTGCACGTAGTATACATTACTCGATCTGTATCTATAATTATCCGATGGAATATTTGCTTGGTACAGCAAGTATGGATAACTGCAAATATAACAAATGTTATCTATAATAAAGAAACTATGTCGCTTTTAACTCAGTGTAGACCAAGCATAGCTCTTTATAAAGATCCACCCTACTCCCACTCTTCCCCACACCACCCCGCCCCCCCTAAAAAAAAGGCACAGAAAAGAAAGACGACAAAATCTTAGTACTAACAATAACAAACAGAACGAACAGGGCAATAGTTTTGATTGGCACAACGGTATATAAAAGGGATGTCACGATTTATGGTTCTGTGCCGATTTACATTTAAGCCCAGCACGGCCGACATCGCTTCTAGTAGGACAAAGGTCTGTAGTTCTCGCATCCGTAGCAGATTCCTCGTTTCAACGTGCGGAAGCGATCCATAGGAGTAGTGTATTGGCAGGAAGTTTAATCAAAAGTCGCTAAACCGACAAAAGTCACCGACCAAAATAATAGAAAAAATATCACTAAAAATATAAATCAATCAAAATCTGTGCGTCTTGCGGTTTCAAACTCCGGATCCTTTCGGTTTTTGTACCGTTAGTCACGAAGGAAAAGTCATCTGGCATATCGTCAATTTGATAAAAAAAAAAAAAAAAAGGTTCATATCACCTATTTTGAGTGTGTCGTTCAGTATTTAAGACCTAACCGGAAGTATCTTTAACCCAGTTAAAGGACGTTTCCCTCTCAATATCATTTTGTTCATACGTAGTCATCATTATAATTATCTGCTGAGTATGTCACGTAGTCACTTAAAGAAATAATCATCCTCCACTGTTGAAAAGTTTGCGTTTGAACTGACCAAAGGCCTCGGGCGATATGTTAAAGCTTGATGATCCACGAGACCACAACCTCCGGGTTGGTATGATATCTACGCAAATGCACGGAACAGTGAAAATCACTCGACCCTCCCCCGCACTGTTTACGTTTGCACTCTAAACGCAACCTGTACGGGCGTATTATATCTTTAGCAGTCATAGTTTTATTATGATCATAATTTGTTTTACTCATGGTACATTTGTGATGGTCGTCAATAAATTATGAGATCGAGATCGTTCGATATCAGGTGATTCCCTTAGCGTGAAACAGCGTATAGGTACTTAATTACCGTTTCACTACACGCCGAAATGATTGGCTGATGAATGGAGGTTTAGCCCCACAGGGAGTTGTGTTGAGAGAATTTTATAATCACTTATTCTGTTCTAAAAGCTTGTGTAAATTATATCAAGTTTCTCCTCCGAGAAAAATAACTTCTTGTACAGTTCCTTGAAGGAAATTTTAAAGAATATTTTTAGCTGTTGAAAATGTTATTGGCTGTTAAAATTGTTTCGAAACAGATACTGCGTGATTCATGAGTGTGGATTGAAAGGTAAATTCCTACTAACTCCGACTAATAACGATTAGCCGCGCCGTTCTTACTACTGTTTAGTCACTTCGGGAATCAATGAACACAGAGTATATAGAAGTGATGACAGCGCTAGGTAATAAAGTTTAGTGTGTCATCGAAAAATTCGTTGTATTTTTTATGAAAACGGGATCAAATGGATACCACAGAAGAAAAAAGGGTCAGAGATCTATTAAAGGACATTCAGTTAGAACAGTATTATCGACAGATCCATGGAAAACTACATGTTACTCGTCTGTCGCACTTTGATCACGTAACGGAAGAAGATTTAGACGATCTCGGAATGGCAAAACCTGAACAGAGACGTTTGTTTGAAGCACTTAAGAAAGCAAAGAAGAAATCGCTTTTTAGCAGCTTCAGAAGAAAGGTGAGTTCTTAAATTAAAGAACTATCTCTCCGATGCTTAGATGACGAAATCGCGCGTCTTTACGTGCGTCAGTAAACTTGTTTTGATTTACGCTAAATCTACGCGTCTGTCGATTCTGTCGTAGTTTTTTTTTAAGGAAGGAAATTTACTTAAATCATATCGTTCCATTTATAATTAATAGTTAAGTATGGTGTCTTTAGGCAGAAAAACACACTCTACGCATTTTATTTTACATGCGTACAGCGATGGTTATCCGAGAATATTATCGACGACCCGGTATATATAACTTGCTCACGAATTTATACCACGATCATGTATTTCACACAGATATGTAGTCGATAGAACTGAAAATTAAATTTTACTTTCTTTGAGTAGCACAGAACTCTCTTATATTCTTAGAAATTAAATAATTGCGCTTTCGATTCACTCGCTCCTCTGTCCACGTGTTTCATTTACGTCGTCTGGTTTCACAACGGGGTCAGAGCGGAAAAAAAATTCCATTTATTCTCAAAATACGCTTCTACTTCTCTACCAGTGAACGAAAGGAACTGTTTCAGTCTTCCTGATAGATTCTTAAACAGTTAAAAGCTCTTACACATCGGTTAAATTTATCATGGTTTTTATTTTGGTTTATTTTTAAGGTATTCAGTTTGAGTCAAGAGCTTAAATTATACAACCTTTGACTCGTCATTGTTCTGATCTTTTGAAAACGAACATTTCAAATATGTCTTGTATTTAGGTCAAACCAAATTCCTCGGGAATTTTGCTTTGTTTTGTCTGTGTTTTCAACTCGTTATAATGCCCAAGAGATCTGTAGTTAAGATTCCAAAGTGTGATACTTCCAAGCGGAAGGTTTGTAAAATTAAAAACAACGCCATAAACGGATGTGCGTGGAATCACCTGATCTTGAAAGAAATGATAAAAACACCGATGTTAGAAACTAAAATCAGTTCTTCATGGAAAATGAAAAAAAAAAAAAAAAAACAAGAAAAAAAAAACAGCTTTTCTCATGAATATGCAATAGAAATGATTAATGTTTCAATCTCCTTCAAATGTAATCACATTGTTCATGTGCTGCTCATTTGTGAATACAACATTGCTTGTTTGTTAAGTTGTAATGGAAATGAGACTGAGTGGAGTCCAATTCAGTCTATAATCTTAGAGTCGAGTGAGTAACAGATTAAAATCAGACAACTGCAAAGCCGGAGTCTGATTTGTTAGGATTGCCGTTACAAACAGAATTAGACAACAGAAAGTCCTGTTGCTAGTTAATTAAAAATGACAACATTTTAAGGACAAGCTAGCCATCTGATGTAATTTTTTCATAAGAAGCAGCACTCAACTCTACAAAATGTGCAGATCAGTGCATGTGCTTGACATACACAGTCCAGCTACACAGGCATGATGCGCATATCGTCCAATTAAAAGCACAATGCACACTCTGTCCAATTACAAGCATGGCATGCACACTGTCCAATTAGACTGTCTAGTTAGACTTTCCAATTAGAAGCATGGCCTGTACACTGTAAAAATTACAAGCATGGCCCATACACTGTCCAACTACACTGTCTAACTAGACTGTCCAATTACACTGTTCAATTACACTGTCCAATTACACTGTCCAATTACATGCATGGTGGGTACACAGTCCAATTACACAATCCACTAACAAGCAGGATGTGTTTACTGTCCTATTAGTTCTCAAATTAGGCCTATGATAGCCGATCACATTAAAAAAATTTGTTTTTGTTTTGATTAATTTATCATAGTAATTTTTGTTTTTTATTTTACTTTATTTTGAATTTCTTGTCATGTGGTTGGTGATTTTGTATACAACTTTTAACCTGTACCAAAAATTACACCTTTGCTAAAAGTTAAGAATTTTATCCCTTTACTGAGAGATACCACCAACAGCATTTAGAAACTCTGGGATTATAGACATGTACATAGTATATTTGTTACTTTTTCTATGACATTACTCTTCTGATCAAATTCCTGATTCTCTATTCCACTATTAGTACACTTCCTTGGTCATGAGTCCAGAGAATTTGGACTTTATCATATTAAGATAACACTCTCTACCTGATGCATTTGTCCTTTCTTGTAATAAAATTTTTGGATTAGATTAGATAGTTATAGTAAGGGGAGTAAGGGGGGTTTTTAAAGACATGAACATTTTAACTACCTTCAGAAAATAAAGGAGGCTTGACCTTTGATTGGACATGCTGAAAACTTTTCAATTCTTTTCTTATCAAATCATGTCATGATTTTACTTAATCTACAGCCTTTCCATGCAGGATGTTTTTGGATCATGGACTGAGTACATGCACTCACAGAATGAGAAAAAATGAAATGTTCTAAAAAAAACTTCTAAAAAGAGATTCATGAATAAGGAATTAAATTGAAATACCCTCTCTGTACATCAGTACCAACATTTTTTTTTTTAATTTTTATTTTTATTTTTTTCTATATATTATACTTACATATGTACTTACACTTTACTTACTTCTGACATGATGCTTACACCATTTTTATGTTCTACTGAAAAACATTCGCCATTCATACATTTTTATTTAGATAGTTTTATCTTTCCCTTTTTTTATCCCTTGTGGTTTTGGAAAAGGCAGTGAATACATGATAATAAGTTGTAAGGTAGTTTGTAGTTTTTAAGTGATATAAACTGAACTAGAATGTAAACTTACCATTATGTGATATTTCAACATTTCAATTGATGACTAAGAATGTCTAATTTGAAAAATCAAAAACATGATTTGAAACTAGGTTGGTTTTCATTTTTGACTCTGTAATGAACTAGGGTCCAGAGAGACTCTTTGAAGCACGTAGCGGCCTTTTTGATAGTCTCCTTCTCAACATCACAATTTCTTTAATTCAATTAGATGATTGTTTCATGTGATACAAAGTGGTGGTTGGGTTAATTTTAACTAAAGCAATGGTCACTTACACTCGTCTCTTTTCACTTTCATGTCACTGACTACACATAGTTGTTCTAAATGTTACAGTTGTTCTAGTAATTTTGTGGTAAACTTGTTCATTTGTGTTTATAATAGAAATCGAAGAAATCAGAGAGTCCAGTAGAATCTACACCAGAGCGCTCAAGTTGCTATGGAGTTGCAGGTGACTCCTTGACATGTGTCATCACTGAGCAGTCTGTTTCTCTTTATGAAATGCTTGGAAATGGTGCCTTTGGGTATGTGAGGAGAGGAACATGGATGAAGAACTCCCACAAGAAGGTGAACTGAATATTCAACTGAAATAGGTTAACCACTGACATACATGTATTGGATCAATATCAGTATCTGGGCAACTGCCCACCTACCCCTCCCCTAACCCAACATTAACCCTAAGTTGTTATCAATTGACTGTTTTTGAGTTAGGGGAGGGGTAGGTGGGCAGTTGCTCAGATACTGATATTGATCCCATGTATTTATTTAATATGCAGAATCTGTTTGGAGCACTGACTCACTTTAGTTTTGAGAGTTAATCTCCATTGGTGGTATTGCCTTTGGACGAGATGCTCAAATCCTTTCCAAGTTATCTGCCTACCTTTGGTCAGGTTCCTTAGACAGTGTATCATAGCACTTGCCACTTTTAGTTGTGCCCATTGTGGTCAACATGGCAAGAAGAAAGAATTTAAATTGGTGACTGAATTTTCATCATAATTTGCTAGTTTGGCAACCAAATTTTGTTTCTTTTTTTCTGGCAAGTCATGTGTGGTTTTCATGGTCAAGAGTTGAAGTAAGATGAATATTGAGTTAAATGAAAGTTCAAAGTACAGTTTTCGTTGTAATATTGCCCCTACTTGAGTTAAACCTTAACTTCCACGAGTGACCAAGACAGAATTTCTCCTTACAATACCAATACAATATCAACCAGATAAGTGGTGAGAATAAAGAAAAATATCAATTTGGGGATAATAAGTTGATCCAATACTAAAGTCTCTGAAGTAACATCATAAGAATTGTGTGGTTGACAGTAAGGAGGATGACAAATTTGATCTGGGAGTTAAAGGGTTAAAGGTCCTGAAATGGTGAGCTTGGAGCCTTGACCTACAATTACAGCAATCTTGAATAGAGGGCAGTATTTTGAGAATCTAGTGTTTTGACCCAGAACATGACAAAGTGTTTCAATCACACCTGTACATAATGCATTTAAAAACTTTTTGTTGTTAGCTTGTTTTCTATTGATTTTTATTATAAGCATTAATATATATTTTTTGTTGGTGTTATCAGTAATTCCCTTTTGAATATTTTATTAGGTTGATGTTGCTGTGAAGTGTTTGAAGGCATGGAATGACAAGGCTTTCCAACAGATGCAGATGGAATTCATTAAGGAAGCTAATGCCATGAGTCTACTGGATCATCCCCACATAATCAGACTCCACGGAGTTGTTCTTTCTGCACCAATGATGTTGGTACGTTCAACAAAAGTGACTATTATGTGTACTTGATATACTTTCCACAGCATTTTTGGTGCATTTATAAAATTGTCAAACACACTGTACATGTTCAGGGGGAGGGGAAATTTTTCCAAATGATTGCAAAAAAGAGTGTACAAATGGTGAACATGTACAAATGCCAAACTTAGATTTTAACTTGGTTAAAAACAATATGATTATTTTTGTGTATTAGCTAATGTTCATGCAACAACAAAGAATAGCTTTGAGCCATGGAAGCAATATGATAATGGTAACGAGGAAGAAAATAATAGTAACAATGGGAAAATTCAAAGTAATAAAATCACTGAAAATAAAATTAAACAAAAAATAGCAACAAACAATAGAAAAATAGAGAACATAGAAAATGAACAAACAGCAAATAGTCTGAAGTGGAACATTCTACAAGTGATTGCAAAAAAGATTAATTGAACAGTAAACATGTATATGTATAGTCTTGGTTGCACTGCATATATTCATTCTGTATAGCATTTCAAAGAGAGTGGTTGCTCTTTTAACTGCTGCTGTATTTAATATTAGTCTTCCAATGAGGTTCATGTCTTATTGGTTTAACTCTAAACTCAATAGGTCACAGAGCTGGCTCCACTTGGCTGTTTATTAGCACGGCTCAGGGATGAACCTCATAATTTTACCATCAGTGGCTTGAGTGATTTTGTGGTCCAGATAGCTTCAGGAATGGCTTATCTTGAGTCTCACAGATTTGTTCATCGTGATCTGGCAGCGCGCAATCTTTTGCTACAGTCATATGAGAAAGTGAAGATTGGAGATTTTGGAATGATGCGAGTCCTCTCTGATGATGACGACCACTACACAATGCATCCCAGTGGCAAAATTCCATTTGCATGGTAAGTGTTAATTTATTTACACTAATCCTGTACACCCCAACATCAGTGTGCATATTCTCAACAGGTTTTTCTACACATTTATTGTAATATTAAGAAGGAGAATTAATCAAACAATCAAGAGCTTCTTCAGGAGTAATCATTTCTTTTTTAATGATTTTATGTTTGACTCAGAAGTGACTTGGTAAGGATGAATTAGATGGCAGTCATTCTTAAGGGTTAAAAGTTAATGCCATTAGGTCTTTTTAACTGTTACATGAAGGACAACTCATCCAAAGATTCTTGAAAGGGTTACACTTTGTTATGTTAAACGATTGCTTTAGGATTGTGATTTTCTTGCTCTAGGTGTCCACAAGAAGTTCTTAAATTCCGCAAGTTTTCCCATGCCTCTGATGTTTGGGCCTTTGGTATCACTGTGTTAGAATTGTTCTCCTATGGAGAAGAACCTTGGCCAGGACTTAATGGAGCTGAGGTGAGTGAACCATCAGCACACAGTTGAAAGACTTAAGATATGTTTGTGTCATGTTTGCATGCACTGAAAATGATTCTTATCCTTGCAGTCCACATGCATATCATCTATATTATTTATTGTGTTTCTTGGGGTTGTTTTCAGTGCAGGAGAAAGTCTATATGGGTTAAGGGTGTGGATAGTGGGATCCTGGAATGCCGTGAACCTTCCCCCCCCCCTCCCCTCCCATTCATTTAAATATTTATTTCTGATTATCTTTTTTTTTCTTTTTTTTTCCTTTTTTTTTTCACACCCTCCTCATGAGAAAGTAAGACACTTTTCAAAATACTCCATCTAAGAGAAAAAATGTACCCACTTCCATTATGCAGAGAGAGCTAAACACTGCCCTCTGAAAATCTAAATGTGCAATGTTTTGGATGCATTGAGATGTATTATTGCCCTCACAGTCCATTTCCTATTCTTCAATATGGGACTTAACAACACTGTACTGTGTCAAGATAGTGACATTCATTGCTGGAAGTTAACCCCTTTTAGCTTCTTATGTTATAGAGTGCTGGCCTTTGATCTTATCCGTGCACATAAATGATGTATCAATTATATTGTCTCTAATGCCATTTAGGTCAACTCTCTTTAAATGGAGTAGTCTGTGACCTTCACCCCCCACCACCAAGTTGTCCATGTACAGAGTAGAATTTCAAAGCTGACGTTTTGACCGTTAGCCCTCTGTCAGAGCGAAAGACGATGGGCTAACACTCGAAATGTCAGCTTTGTAACTCTTAAAAGTGGCCAAATTATGTTATTAACCCAGTCGATAATACCAAATTCCCCTGTTATACTCTCCCACCAACGCAGTATCACAGTTTCTTTAGAAACTTACCCCCCCATTCATGTACAATGTACTTAACTTTAATACTTTACCTGAATTTGTTTGTTAAAAACCAGATATTGGACAAAGTGGACCTGCCATCATGTGAGAGGCCCAAGAGGCCTGAACACTGCCCTTCAGAAATCTACAATATTTTGGTGTCACTCTGCTGGTCGCATGAGCCTCACCAGCGGGCAAGGTTTAGCATGCTTAAAAAACTGGTAGACGAGGTGAGTGCCATACTTGCATATGTACTTCTGTCAGTAGCTGCATTTGAATACTATACATGTTTGTTTTAGGTAAGCTACCTCTCTTGATTTTTTCCATAGTCCCTGTCTCCTCTGTGAAATCTACCTGGATCTATTTTGTCTTCGCGTAATCTTGTGCTGCCAGTAATGTACATTCCGTTAATCATTCTTTTTCAACTGAATTGTGAATGTGTCAATCCTTGAACCACGAAGTACAGAAATAATTGTAATTACTTTTAATTAATCATTTTATGTTTTGTAGGCACATCCCATGAATGTCGCTGCAGTGTTACCCTATGAGAGCAAGAGCCAACAAAATCTGAGCTTTCAGGAAGGTGACATTATCACACTTCTTGAAGCCAGGTGAGATGATAAAAATACTAAACAAGGACTCTGTGTTTTCAACTTATTTATTTTGAAATGCACTCTGAACCTGTGTACACCGATTACCGCATTAGCTTATTATTTTATTTACCTTTGCAGTCCCGATGTTTCTTGGTGGAAAGGACAAAATATGAGTACAAGAAAAGTCGGGATGTTTCCGTCAGAATTTGTAGAAAGTGGAATGCGGCGAGGTACCTAAGGAGAAAATTTGCATTGACTGATGTGTTCATCACTCTTCTGAGCCCAGTTGTTCAAAGGTGGATAGCGTTATGGAACGGATAAATCGCTATCCAGCGAATAACTGTTAACAAAATGTACTGCGCTATCCAACGGAAAGCGATTTGTCCAGTGGATAGCATTATCTACCTTTCGAACAATCGAGCCTAGGTTTAAATTTAAATTAAATTGTGTCGTATGTGCTGTTTATTTATCTCACTTTAAAGTGTATAATTCTGCCTCGTGTCTCGAAAACTTACTGTTTCTGTTTTTTTAAACAACAATTTCCTTTAAAACAAGTACAATATTTTTTAATATCTTGTTTGTTTGCAGCCGTTTCACCAGTGAATACTCGGACGTCTCTAAAACCGAAGTGAGTTTTTGTTTCGCTTTTGTTTGTTTGTCTGTCGGTCTCTGTGTTTCTTTTGCTCCTTTTTTTTAAAAGAATTCGTCTGTTGCACAATGCTTTTTTTTGGTTGTACAAGGGCAGTGCACTAGCCTCCATCCTATCGTTTGGTTAAGATTAACGTAGAACTTCGTGCGATATGTAAGCGTTTTTCTTCCATCTTTTTCAGAAGTAATATTACGAAGCGAAGCAAACAGTGTAATCAGCTACCAAACTGTGGTAAGATTTTTCCCTAGTGCGATTTTTCACCCTTTTTGCATTGGTTTTTAATGGTTTTGTGCATTTGTCGTTTCTGTTTCCTTTGTTTGAGAAGCACCTTGTATCTGTATTTGTCATAAAAGACAATAAGGAACGAAACAAACTCGGATCAATAACAGTATCTGGGTAACTGCCCACCTACCCCTCCCCTAACCCAACATTAACCCTAACTTGTTATCAATTGACTGTTGTTGGGTTAGGGGAGGGGTTGGTGGGCAGTTGCCCAGATACTGATATTGATCCACAAACTCTATGAGACACCCATCTCACTTTGATTTCTGTAACTCATTTATTCCTTAGACTGCGGAAGTGAGCACATCTACGAGACTCCTATCTTCTTATATTCACCAAACTCTTTGAAGAACGGCAGCAGTGTAAGCACTACTTTTTCTGGCCAGTCTGTTGAAAGCGACTTGGCCTCCTCCACAGACGTTGATAGCGGATATTCTTCCAGCGTGGACGTTAGACGATTCCGCCATTTGTATGACGAGAACAGCTCAGGAAAACAAAAAGCAAAGGTGGAGAATTTTTATGAAAACGCGAGCATCAGAAAGCAGGATACCAAGGATACCACGTATGAATTGATGTACCCTGCGAGTGGACCGGTATCCAGTCCTATTCCCATTCCAAGACAAAGCACAGGGGAATTAAGATTTGTCAGGATACAAAATGACACATCTTCGACTCCTCCATCACGCACTGGCCAGAAATGCCCCCTAGACTTAAACTTCTCCAGCCCCCGATTGTCTGCCGGTGAAACGGGAGCTTCTTCTCTTGTCACTCAAAATACTTCAACTTCACTCCCACCCAGCTCAGCTACGGAATTACATGAAAATTCTCCAAGGCTCTCCAGGACGGTCTCACCACGACCTAGTAAGAAATCTCAGCGGGATTCTGGGATAGGGGAAACACTTGCCCAGGATATGCTGACATTCTTGAAAGGAGCTGGAGGAGATAAGTCATCGGTTCGTCCTAACCCCAAGAAAGCTGAAGAGGAGGACATTTACGAAGAATTATCTGGGCCGTTTACATCTGTTCCATCAAATCCCAAAGGCTCTATTGTGACAAATACTTCCTCCAGTGTACCGTTGACAGCGCACAAGAAACATTCATACGAAAACTATGCTTTGCCCTTGAAACAACAATTAAGTTCTACAAAAGACCATGCCAAAGATCAGAGCATTAACGAAGCTGATAGAAGCAGGTGCAACTCAGCTAATCAAGTGCTAGACGAGCAGGAGCTTAGAGATAGCCGATGCAATACTTGGCCCTCACAACAAAACTATGTCAATCACAAACTGAAGGAAGCTGGTTTGATGCCATCAGATGAAGGTTTCTATGACAACCACAAGCTTAGAACCACCTCAGACGCGTTTCAGCCAACTTCTGACGCCTGCTACGATAATTGGAAGATCAGTAACAAGGAAAGTGAGTCGGTGGGAGAGCTTCTGAGGGAAGAACAGACGCCCTGCTATGAGAACGTTGAGCTACAAACTGGTAAACATAAGGTCAATAATGGAAATCTCTCCAAAAAATCTGGAACTAGTTTGGGCTCCCATGAAGAAACACTTTCAAATCAAAACAAAACTAGGGAAGAAAGATGCAATAATTCCTCGTTCACCTCACATCAAAAGACCTGCATGTACGAATGCATGATTCCTAAATATTTACAAAATGGAGACCTCACGCAAGAATATAAAAAGCAAGGAAATACTGACAGTATATACGAGAACTGTGAAACTGTTGACTACAGGAAAGACAACCCCGAAGAGGTGGTTGGGGGCATGGTAATCCCAAGATCAATTAGACAAAATGACAGCAACTCACGAAAACTTTGTCGTTCCTTGCCCACAAATTGTCACTGCGTGGGGGTCGCTCCCGGCGATCCTTATGGTTTATTAAATATGATCCTGGAAAAACGCAGCCAGCCATTGCTGACCAGGGTAGGAAGTGCTGATGCTATTCGTGTTAATGCCCGGAAGGACGATCCTCTCACTGCCGGAGGACCAAGGGAAAGCGGAGACCATTTGGACCTCCAAGGTCATCCTGTTCCACCTCCGCGCTGGAGGCGATTAGCTCGTATGAAGAGGCCTCTCTCATTTACGTGTTGCTCCCATAACCAGTGGGAAATAACCATCAGTCCTGAGCTTGCCTCTGTGCTGAGCAAAAGACTGAATGGATCTGCTATGGGCTCGTCTGCATGGTTGAAAGCAGCAAATTCCTCAAGTAACGCATACGAAAATGTTCGGTTACCGTGTGAGACTCCTGTGCAGAAAAATACCCCTCCCGAGCTTCCACCAAAGCTACAACGGTCAAATGAGAAAGTTTCCTTCCAGAGTACCACACAAAGAGCGAGAGCATTGCACTATGAAAATGTCAATGTGCTAAATGACTTTCATGCAGTCTCACAAAGAGCAGATGATTCCTCTCCTCCACCACTTCCAAGGAAACTATCTAAGGCAAAACCAACACCTATTATACCACGCCGAGTGGATCTAGAACAGCAGGGTTAAGAAATGTGTGCTAGATCCACATTGAACTGTTTATTGAAGGAAGGGGTACTGTCCTACTGTCCTACCCGAAAGCCTCAACGATGATCTGCCACACTGGAATAATCTGAAACAACAGTTTTAACAAATTGCCATGAAAATTCATCTGAAGCTCCTATCGGAGGAAATGAGTTTCGTCTCACTTGAAAACCCCAACGATGAACCTCCACGCCGCGTTAACTGGAACAGCTTATGTCAGCCCTTTCACCCCTAGGAGTGACTAGCATCTAATTTCTCCTTATCATATCACCCCTGATTCAAACATTAAGGTCACAAGAATACAAGAAATGATCACCAACTTGAGAAGCTTTTGATTGCTATACATATTCTCTATTTCATGTGATATTATTTTTAATGCTCTTAGGGCATGTACATTAGCTACTTGAAATTTTTAGATCAACGTTATTTTTTGTAATTGTCTTAAATTATGATGTTTGTCTCTTGACTTCATATTGTAAAGTAGTCAGCGTGATAAACAGATACGAAATAATTATGTCTTGCCATTAGGGCAAGACAATCAATGAATTTATGTCAATATTTTCGGAGACTAAGTCTCTTCAAATTTAAGTAGTTGATTATTCAACAATTTGGTGGCTGGATACCCCTATTTTGTCATGAATCATACAAGAGTAATTGTTTGAGTGTAATTTTGTCTTTTTCTGAAGTCAATCTTCAGCTGGTTAACATAATTCCATTGCTCTATTTTGCATTGCCTTCCATTTTCGCGAGGGCTTTATTATTCTTTATGCTTTTTTTAATATTTGTTTCATGGGAACGCAATGTAATTTTGAAACGTATTTCAGGTCACATGTAGGTTTCATCCTTTGTACCTTTTTTTTTTTTTTTAGCATTTTATTTATGCTTGCATCGGCAACAAAGTGTGTTCAAAAATTATATTTAAGGATTTACTGACAGAGCAATGAAACGTTGTATCTGACGTAGGAATATAAATCTATGTGATATACGTAGGTGCTCTAGTTACACGTAGATATACATAGTTGTCTTAGGCGTCATTCCAAGACACGCAATTTAAACTTGATCATTAGATCTGTGCTCTTATTATGGAAGTGGTGAGCGTGTGTCGAAACAGGCTTGCCGCCATTTTCCCTTCTAGGTCTAAATGTAAATAGCTGTATAGAATAAGCGTCTTCGCATATGCAGGGAAACGTATCAGTAATAATTCAGCCGCCATGCTATTTCGTTCATTGCCATTTGAAATAATCCTTTGGTGTCGACTAGGGAGGATAAAATTAATGTGAACAATTTTCTTGTCTTTAATTACCGGAAATCGCCCTTAGAAAAAATTGTAGAAAATATGTCGACGAGGTAATGTAAAATAGAAATGTAAATACAGATGACTAGAATTAAAAAGTAAATATTCATACCTTTGAATTGAATGCCTCATTTCAATCAACAGTCGAGGTGTGAGAGATGCCCAGCTGCAGTTGTGCCTGGAGTTAGTCCTGGATACTAGTGTCCAATTTTAGACAAAGGAGCCCGATTTTGAAAACAAGTATTCCATTTCATCTCTACTGTCCTATTTTTGACTATAAAATCCGATTTTAGACACAAGTGTTCCGTTTTAGACTATGGATCCGATTTTAGAAACTAATGTAGGAGTTTAGACGCTATTGTCTGACTTTACGCACTAGTGTCCGATTCTAGACACACGCAAGCATCCGATTTTAGACAGTGTCCGATACTGTAGACTAGAGTCCTATTTTGAACAATAGACTCTAACGTCATAACGATATCAATGATTAAGGAAGCATTGGTAGTCTGTTCTAGTCTCGGTCTGTTCTAGTCTCAGTTTTGGATGCCGTTTCATTGAAGAATTTAGCGCATCTTTGACTGTATTGATCGATTGCTTAATTTTATTTAGACTTCATGGAGTTCTGTCAATTGCCGCTTGTACCCGGAAAGGAAGTTACTGATAGAAAGGAAGTAGATGAAGAGGAAATGAATTTCGAGAACTTTTACTGATGAAGTTTGAACGTGTCAACGGTAGCGGAACATTTTGAAGTATGAAATTATCTGAGTGTCTGTAGTAAGCGAACAGTAAGAGATTGAGAAAAAAACAACAACAACAAAACAACACGGACGGGTTTATTATCTACATAAAGTTTAAAAGAGCAGAAGAAGATACAACTCGAATTGGTTCATTCAAAACGATCTTTATAACGAGTTCAATTAAGAGACACTTGGAGACGACGCTTTTCGGAACCCTGTTCCTAACACACGACAACAGATTCAAACAATTTCCGTGACTTTCTTTGTACTTGTGCTTTAATAGCGTATTATTTTAAAAAGCTTAAAGAATGAAAGTTGTCTCAGTTTACTCTCAAAGGTCAGATACCTCAAGAGAAAAGGCCTCAAACATGTCATGTTGTTTTGTTACTGTTATTGCACAAGTAATATGTCATTTTTTATCACGGTAGAGAGGGTAAAATTTGCGCAAACCATCGTGAATAGGGTTAAAATTGCGTTCATAAACAGTTCGGCAAGCTGGGTTGATGATATCTATGAGTTTGTGACTATTGGCTCAGAAAACTGATTGTATGCAACTGATATCTGCAAAAGCGACTCCAGTGATAAAAATGAAACATTTCCTTTCAGTCTGAGTATCTGTAGAGTTTCATTCTGCTGTTCCACTGTCGAGTCTCTTTGATTGCGCTATTTGCTTATGAATTCTCTTCCTGGTTCAAAACTTCGAGTTTTCTTGTTTGTCGCTTGCACTGAAAGGAAGTTGCTTTTAGTCAAACTTCTGAGGAAATTGATGTCGAGAACAGTGAGATTAAAATGATATTTAATTTGCGCTGTGTCAGAGCGAACGGAACACATACAAGATATAAAATACGTTGTGTTTTACCACCTGCATCAACTTTCGTGATGTCTCTCAAAGAGCGTTCTTTTCTGGTAAGCCCCGGCACAGTTCTATCTATTTTGTGTTTGCTCCTCTGCTCCGTCGGATTCATTCGAATTGAGACCATATTCAAAGACTACGAACAAAGGTTGAAGACAGTGGAGAAAGTCATGCCCCAAGATCAAATGAGACGAGCGAGGACGAATCTAGCTTCCACTAGTGAGGGTAACTAAAAACATTCTGTTTTGTATAATATTAATTTTCACATAAATTTACAAGTTTTCATGCTCCCAAAGGTAGCTTGCGTGCTATTCTAGTTGGGCGGCACGTCAGACGTAAAAGTCTTACAACAGCGTCAACAAATTACCTATAATTTAATAATATTGCTGATAGGACAAATTCAAACACGATAAGTTCTAGTTATGTAATGGTGTTATTTGGTACATAACGTTTCTTCGACAAGCAATTAACTTAGAAATGATACAAGTATATCTGTCATTTTAATCGTTCGAGGCAAATTCTTACTTTCCTTCCGTTCGTGATCAAACGGAGGTAATATAAGAATTGAGGAAACTCTCAATTTCGTCCAACAATAAGTAAAATTAAAATTTTGACCTCTTCTTGGACGAAATTGAGAGCTTCGTGACATTGAGAAAAAGTATTGATTTACGCGCATCTTTGAAAACTAATCTCCGTTCAATGAAACGTTCTCGAATCTCTTTTTCGACGTTGTTTTGAGAGAGGCCTCAAATTACTAAAAACGTAGCGGTAGAGCTGCTATGATATTTAATTCACTTCCTTCTTGTGTGGCGTCTAGTCCGTCGATGAGAACCATTGTCGTTGAGAGATGATACCACTTTCGCTTTAGGCCTCTGCTACATTTCAAGTATCGCACGCTTCGGTAGCTTACTTAATTAGATTCAGCAAACATTAACAGCATCACCAAAAACAATTTGCTAGAACTGAGTTCTAATAGCTACATATAATGATCCAAATGGGAGGTTGGCTAAATTCACCAAGCGCAACAGAAACTACAACAGAAACAACAACAATAAAAAAAAGGAGTAGCCACAAAAATACAAATTGCCGAGCATTGTAACCTCGTTAAATTTCTGCTTAAAATTCTAGTTTCTACCACGCAAGGCGAGGATGAACCCCATCGAGTGAAACGTAGTATTTCACAACCATCTCCTTTCAATAACTCTGCTCACATCAAAGAACTATTTGGAGACATTATCTCCTCCACTTTAAAGCTGTGTCAGTACCAAGGACAATTGAATGTTTGCCCACGTGGTCGGCCGGGACTTCCAGGGAGAGCTGGACCCAAAGGTGACAAAGGAACTAAAGGCCCCCGAGGAATTATAGGAGCTCCTGGTCGGAGCGGAAAACCAGGAAAGATGGGACCATCTGGAGTAAGAGGAGAAAAGGGAATTAAAGGGGACATCGGGGCACCGGGTCTCCCTGGTATCCCAGGGACTAAAGGGGAACCAGGAGAGTCTCTTTCGCCTCCAAAAGTGACAATTTCTGCACCAAAACTAATTGTCAACGAAACCAAAACAGCCTCGCTTCTATGCTCTGCTTCTGGAAATCCCGCTGTTCAAATATCATGGTCAAAGACCAAGGGATCGTTGCCTAGAAACCGGACCAAAGTGGCGTCAAATGGCCTGATGCAGATCACTAATGTTGGCTTAGAAGATGCGGGCGAATACAAATGCGATGCGCGAAGTATACTGGGAAAGGATGAAAAAACTGCAAGTCTTGTTGTTCAAAGTAGGTTGTATATTTTTCACATGTTTTCCTTTTTCTTTCGTGGTCACATGAACAAAACGTATCACCGAGGAATTTGTTTTAATCTATGAATGATTCAAATCCTTCTGGTATGTAAAGAAGCCGAAAAGATAATAATAGTACAACGGTACTAACGACTTACGCAATTATTCACAGCTCAGCCCCAAGTTTCACTTTCTTCGGGCCCAACCTACGTTGAAGTGGGAAAGAACATCACTCTACCAAAATGTCACGTGATAAGCTTTCCACCAGCAGTGATTAAGTGGTCCAAATTTAACGGTGGCTTAGCGCAGTCCAGGACTGTTGTGAAAGATGGACAGCTGACCATAATACATGCGAAAATGGCAGACTTTGGTTCATACGAATGTAAAGCGTCAAACATTTTAGGACATGATTCAGCTTGGACGCGCTTGAGTGTATTTCAGCTACCGCGTTTTACAAAAACACCACCTGCACAGCTTTTTGTTGAGAAGAACAAAAGAATTTCAGTCCTCTGTCAGGCTACTGGTCACTCTCCACCAAAAATCACGTGGTTAAAAGAGAGAGGCAATCTTCCTGTTGGCAGATCACTGGTCAGTCATGATGGAACACTACAAATCTGGAACACAAAAAAGGAAGACTCAGGCACTTATATCTGTACAGCAACGTCTAACATAATGCACAAGGCGGTCACTGGAATGAAATTGACTATTGGTGGTGAGTCTACCCTGTATGTCCTATATTCGGGTTTTATTTGTTGTAATTACCGTTTTCATTGGGATTATTAAAACCTTTATTATTATTGTTAATAATAATGTTATTCTTAATATTATCGTCATTGTTATGATGATGATGATCATCATCATTATCATCGTCATCATCATTACTATTATTATTATCATTATTATTATTTTCATTACTTGTTATTTGTAAAATCCGTCGCAGCTCTATCTGAACCCGAAGCCTGTGTAGGTTATATTAATCAAACGTTTTAGATAGCAAAGCAAACCAATGAATGCAAATTTTACGATACCCTCCGAATAAGCTTTAACATGTATACCATTAACTCTTATTTAGAATGTGTTCCTGTTGGTGTGGCAGACAATGACACAATTCCAGATAGCGCACTTAAAGCAAGCACATTCTATAGTACAAATTATCATCCATACCACGGCCGACTGAATGAAACCAGGGGAAGGGGGGCGTGGTGTCCTCAGACTAAATCTGATAGAACAGATTACCTCCAAGTTGATATGGGTACAGAGCTGTCTGTTTGTGCTGTGGCTACACAGGGAGCACTGATTCCTAGCGAATGGACCACCAGCTACAAATTGGTTCTATCCGCAGACGGTGTAACTTGGAAAACTTACAAGGAATCAAATGTAGAAAAGGTTTGTAAATGCCAATGAATGAAGAGTTGATTTGATCAGCAGATGTGGATGACGGCTATAGGCCCTTGTAGAGTCCAATTCGGTCTGCGCATTAAACGAGTAATTTAATCGTGTGGTATATGTGTTACTGACCAAGCGTTAGGTTAAGATACCTAGATATTGGCCGAGCTCTTTTATTTATTTATTTATTTATTTTTTTGCGTTTTTATAGACTGAGATGAAGTCCAGGTCCTTAAAATACGCAAAAAAATGAGCTAGGCTAATATTCAACCATCTTCACCTCACGCTTGCTCAATGAAGGATTTATCATACGGCAATAATATTTCGCTTAAATAAAAACCAGGAATGGCTGTTTCTTTCGAGAACGGGGA